TAAAAAAACAAAAGAGTATTGATGTTGTTGTTGTTGTTGTTGTTGTTGTTGTTGTTGTTGTTGTTGTTGTTGTTGTTGTTGGTGTTGTTGTTGTTGTTGTTGTTGTTAGTGTTGTTGTTTTTGTTATTATTGTTACTGTTCTTATCATTGTTGTTGTGATATTGTACGTTGATTGGTCGACGGTTATAAGAGTTTCGTTTTTGCCAGCTCCTGATTGGTGGAGGGCTGTTAACGTCCACCTCTGCCAGCACTTGATTGGTTGACAGGTGTCTCGTTTTTACCATTTCTCTCTTCTCGGCTGTGACCTTTGACCTTGAATCTGACCTCTCCTGGATTACTGGAAAAAACCGGGTCTTTTTGGGGAGGGCTGGGGATCACCTTTACCGGGGATTGGAGATGAAATTTCAAAAGATTTACGAAATGCAGAACAAATTTAAACCGGGAATTTTGAGTTCCTTCATTTCCGGCGCTCGTGAAACCTCAGAATTTACAAGTGTTCGGGAAAAAAAGTCGGGGAAGAAAGTCGGGGGATAAGTCGAGGAAAAATCGGGAAAAAAATCGGGGGAAAACGTCGGGGAAGAAACATAATTTGATTTTATATCACGTATTGTTGATTATGAAAAAAATTTTGAGGGAAAAAACACGATAATTTGAGTTTTATTTTGAGTTGTGGAAATTGGAGAAAAAATCGAGAAAAATGTCCAATTGTATTATTTTTTCTGGTTGGTTTAATTAATGTGGAAATGTTAAAGAAATAATATATAAAATAAAGTCGGGGAAACATCATTTTATGTTTAATTTTTTGTCGGTGAATTAAACTAACCTAACCTAACCTCTCTCTCTCTCTCTCTCTCTCTCTCTCTCTCTCTCTCTCTCTCTCTCTCTGTCACAGGTACCTCAACAGTTACACCTGTAGTATCCAAAGGCAGGTAACGTGTATGTGTGTGTGTGTGTGTGTGTGTGTGTGTGTGTGTGTGTGTGTGTGTGTGTGTGTGTGTGGGTGTGTGTGGGTGTGTGTGTGTGTGTGTGTGTGTGTGTGTGTGTGTGTGTGTGTGTGGTTGACCCATTCAGACCAGGTAATTGTCCCCTCAATATATGCTAATTGATGTCATAATGGCGACCCACTCAAGTATTCTTTCACCTCCTGTTGAAAGATTCTCATTTAGCGCCAGCCAGTGTGATGGTGGTGATAGTGATGATGGTGGTGATAGTGATGATGGTGGTGATAGTGATGATGGTGGTGATAGTGATGATGGTGGTGATAGTGACGTGAACCCACCCATCATAAACAACACCCACCACACACACACACCCACACACCCACACACCCACCCACCCACCACCCACCCACCCACCCACACCCACACCCACACACCCACCCACCACACACCCACACACACACCCACACACACACACACCCCATTAGGTCAAACGTCTACACCCTCAAGCTGACCACATCCACCCACCCTAACTCACATATTCCCCAAGTACCTTTAAAACAAATACAAAAATAAATAAATAAAAATAAAACAGTCTCCCCATTTGAGGTCGAGTCTCAGGGCAATGTTGACGCCATCTTTACGCTTCCCATTATATGTTGTAGCTTATAACCGAGTCAGCCATACACACTGTGCAACCTTTGAGGAGTATTTTGAGTCATTAAGTGAATCTGTTTTAGATACGTCTCTACATATCTCAAGGTAGGGGTGGGGGTGGGTGGGAGTGGAGATGGGTGGGGGTAGTGGGAGGTTGGGTGGGGCTCGAACCTGGTGGATATATCAATCTCCGGCGTGTGCTACAGTGTCGTACCCTGAGACACACACACACACACACACACACACACACACACACACACACACACACACACACACACACACACACTGTTTGTAGTCAGTGATCAAAGAACTCACAAAAATATATATTACTAACACGACCAGATTCACCTGTAATCTGATAATAATTGACATCATAACAAAACAAAGATTACATCACACACTCACCTTAATTAAAACAAAACACAAAAATATGTTCACGATACCAATAACAATTTTGAGTTTGGGAAATATAGAATTATTTATATGAACTTTAGGAATGTATTCATTACGTATTTTTTGTAATTTATGAACAAAATACAGAATTAATGGATAACAATCAGTACAGTATTGTATTAAATTCCCAAAAACATTAATATTGTTGGTAAAAGGTAAAACAAAATTAGTATGACGGTGGTGTTGATTAGGTGTGTTGGGGGTACAGGTGTGGTGTTGAGGTACAGGGTGTGGTGTTGAGGTACAGGTGTGTGGTGTTGAGAGTACAGGTGTGTGGTGTTGGGGGTCTGGGTGTGTGGTGTGGGGGCTAGGTGTGTGGTGTTGGGGGTACAGGTGTGTGGTGTTGGGGGTACAGGTGTGTGGTGTTGGGGGCATAGGTGTGTGGTGTTGGGGTACAGGTGTGTGTGGTGTTGGGGGTACAGGTGTGTGGTGTTGGGGGTACAGGTGTGTGGTGTTGAGGGGCATAGGTGTGTGGTGTTGAGGGGTACAGGTGTGTGGTGTTGAGGGGTAAATAAATAAGTATTTCTCAGTGTTATTTCACGCTCACTCACCCCTGCGGATAATACAGTTGTGATTTTTTCCGCAGTCGCTAAATTACTGCCGCATGCGGGGTTTTTTGGAGCGGATAATCGATTCCTTGTTGGAGATATCCGCGGTGGAGAAGGTTTGGCTATAGTGTAATACTGTAGTTTAATATGGTGAGTCTATATGATGGTGAACACTATACAAACACCATACAGCAGGACCTTACTATATCACCTCAATTATAAACACCATAACAGGTCACCATCACCCACAACTTCACCACTACCACCACCACCACTATTTACCACTATAATCACCATCATCACCCCACACGCAGACTGGTGACTTGATGGGGTGGGCTGGTGGCAGTGGGGTGGGCTGGTGACAGTGGGGTGGGCTGGTGACGGTGGGGTGGGCTGGTGACGGTGGGGTGGGCTGGTGACAGTGGGGTGGGCTGGTGACAGTGGGGTGGGCTGGTGACAGTGGGGTGGGTGCCTAAGGATTCTTGTTCACCAGCCAGCGTTACGTCACCACACCTTCTTTACCAGCTGACACACACACACACACACACGAACGCACACACACACATACACACACACACACACACACACACACACACATACACACATACACACACACACACACACACCACACACACACACAGTAACTCGAGGCCCATCAAGACATAAGCAGAGTGTTGTTGTTGACGACTTTGGGAGGGAGGGAAGGAGGGAAGGAGGGAAGGAGGGAAGGAGGGAGACTTTTCCTGTGTCATATTCCTTCCTCTATCTCCTTCAATTCCTTCTTTTTCCTCCTTCTCTCTCCCTTTTCGTTTTTCTCTTCCTTCCTTCCTTCATTCCCCTGTTTCCTTCTTCTCCCTTACCTTTAGTTTATCTCTCTCTCTCTCTCTCTTCTCTCTTTCTCTCTAACAAATTTGAAAGGTGTAAAACGGGTCTAGAACGCGTATAAAACTCGGTACAAGACACGAGAGAATAACACAGTCAGGTGGCGGTGTATGAGAGGGTGAGTTGCAGGTCATATTGATACAGTTCCCTCCCTCCCCTCCCCCTCTCAGAGCTGGACGTGTTGCTGAGGTCAACCCCTTCCCCCCTCACTACTCCCCACCACCACACCTCTCAACACCTCCCCTCCTTTACTATCTATCTATCTATCTATCTATCTATCTATCCCTATCAAAACTCTTATATACTACAGCCACAAGAACAAGCATAGGGTGCAAATAAACTAGCAACTGCCAGTCTCCCCAAAAATATACAACAGTTAACTGACTGTGATACATTAACTGGTGACGTGTGAATGTATCTGACTGTATCTGTGACAGTTAGTGGAGCCAGTTAGATCCTCAACTTTACTTACGACTAAAAAAAACAATAAACAAATAAATAAGTAAATAAAGTATAATTCAAGATGATGATTTATAAATAATAAATAAAAACATTAAAATAAATCAAGATAAAATTACAATTACATAAAAACACAAAGATAAATAAATAAGAGATAGAAAGAAATGAGAAAATAGAGAAAAGAAGGAGAGAAAGAGATAAAGGAAGAGAAGTAGAGGAAGAAGATCACCAAGAGGCAGTTTGAGTCAGAGAGAGAACACAGGTGAGAGGGCTCTCTCTCTCTCTCTCTCTCTCTCTCTCTCTCTCTCTCTCTCTCTCAGGGTTGAAATCGAACAGCAATTCACAGTCACGTCTGGCATCACCTGAATCCTCAAGCCATGTATGTCATTTAGAGAGAGAGAGAGAGAGAGAGAGAGAGAGAGAGAGAGAGAGAGAGGATCGGACCTTTACACTTTAAGTTAAGAAAAGTTACTTAATACTAACCGGTATTAAGTTAAACGAGACAGTGCGTTTAACGAGTGTTGATAGAGATACGACTTAACACTATCAACTATTGCATTAAACGAGGCATTGAGTTTAACGAAGTATATATCTTGTTATAAGAATGTTGCCTTGTCATCATTGAACCATTATTAGGTTCAACGAGACTAGTGGTGACATCATTAAACATCACTATAACAACAACAACAACAACAACATTCACTATACACCATAACTATCCCTCACCATCAGACAGTCTCACGCAGCCTCGTTAACCATCAACTATGTTATTATATTTACTTCACTATTAAACTCTAAACTCACTTTACCATTTTCTTTATTTCCTATTAAACCCATTTCCCATTTTCTTTAAACCTGATCTTACGTTTTCTTTGCTACTTACCATATTTTCCTTTAAATCCATGTCCATTTTCTTTTATGATCTATCCCCGTTTTCTTTTCTTCTCACAAGGGTAACTGCAACAGGGTGGGGGAGGGCGCTGGAGGGAGGGAGGGCGCTGGAGGGAAGGAGGAGGAGAGGGTGCTGGAGGAAGAGGAGGGGGAGGAGGACACCAATACTGACCTTAGACTTGTTGTGTACGTGTTGCTGTTGAAAGTCTGAATCAAACTCGGGTTCGCTGAAGTAGGACTGATCTTGCTCCCAGGCTCCACCGCCCTGGCCGTTGACTCCCTCACCCTCAAAGACCCTTAGGACAGACCGGTCACGGATGTCTCTGTAAGGGAGAGGACAAGAGGGCGATTAACACACGGTCATTTAGGCTGAGTTGTATATATCTGATGTGTAAATGGTCTTCAGTACTATATCGGGGTCTGGTGAGGTGGGACCGATATAATGAGTGACTGGGAAGTGAAGTATTGGTTAAGAATAGTGAGTGATTGAGAGGTGGATGGTAAGGAGAGAGGAGGGATGACTAAGGACATAGAAGGATGGGGTTGGAGGATGTGTGTGTGTGTGTGTGACTCTTAATACCCCACAGTGGGCAACACACAGTGAGAGGGACAAACACACGCAGTTAGCGACACCGAGTGAGGAACACACAGAAAGGAGGCACACACACACACACACACACACACACACACACACACACACACACACACACACACACACACACACACACACACACACACAGTAAGCGATATACAGTGGGCAACACACAGTGACAGACACACACAGAGTGAGCAACATACAGGACTAACGAGGAGTGCAGTATGTAGGCAGGAGGGGGAGAGGCGGTGACAAATATGCAGGAAGAGAGGGAGGGAAGGGAAGGAGGAAGAGACGGAGGGAAGGGATGGAGGAAGAGACGGAGGGAAGGGAAGTAGGAAGAGAGGGAGGGAGGCTAGCAGGTAGGAGTGACGAGGAAAGCAGAAAGGTAAGCAGGAAAAGAGGAAAGCAGGAAGGAAGGGAGTGAGGGATGTTAGCAGAAAGAGGAAGAGGAGAGAGAGAGGAGAGGAGAGGAGAGAGGAGGAGAGGAGGGGGAGAGAGAGAGAGATCCACATAACCTCACCTACAGCCACACTCTCAGCCACACTCTCAGCCACACTCTCAGCCACACTCTCAGCCACACTCTCAGCCACACTCTCAGTCACACGATCCTATTAACAATCATTAAAGTAATCTTAACCTCTGACCTCTCCCCCCTAAAGGTCAACGAAAGACCTCAGGTAGGGTGTACTAGCTAACGATAGATTATCATTATTCAGTTTCTACCTACCTGTCTGTACTTCCATAACCTGTAATTACCATAACCTGTACTACCATAACCTGTAATTACTGCCACCTGTACTAACCTAACCTTTAATTACTGCTACCTGTACTACCATGACCTGTAATTACTGGCACCTGTAAACCAGCCCTCTCCAATGACCTCATGAATAAGCTTCTTGGCCCGGAGTCTAAACCTGTCGTGTGGTTCTCATGAGTCTGATCGAAGAGCCTAATGACACACCAGCCAGCAGAGGTCATGGCAGGTGAGTCCACATGCAAATGACTTCACTGAGAGGTTTCCTACACGGGGTTTCGTATGCTAATGAGCTGGTGGTTGAAGGATGGAGGCTTCACCATATTGACGCTGGGCTAATGAGAGAGAGAGAGAGAGAGAGAGAGAGAGAGAGAGGAGAACAGTACTCGACATAACAAAACAGGGAAGCTTTTGCACGGGTCCTACACTGTGTTATTTCTCCAGGGGGTACAGCTGAGAGAACAGAGACCATATCACAGTACACACCCCTTAACCTCTCTCTCTAATACCAAACTCTTAGGTTATTATGTGTAGGTAATACTAGGAAGATACTTTTTAACAATAATAATAATAATAATAATAATAATAATAGTGATGATAATAATAATAAAGTGTTGAATACAAATTTTATTCCAGTCTTCAATAACACTAATGACTTCTTTATGTAAAATCCAGCAGTGTTATAGAAACAGTATACACACAGCCTCAGTATACAGACAGCCTCAGTATACACACAGCCTCAGTATACAGACAGCCTCAGTATAGACAGCCTCAGTATGCGACAGCCTCAGTATACACACAGCCTCAGTATACAGACAGCCTCAGTATACAGACAGCCTCAGTATACAGACAGCCTCAGTATACAGACAGCCTCAGTATACAGACAGCCTCAGTATACACACAGCCTCAGTATACAGACAGCCTCGACGCCTCAGTATACAGACAGCCTCAGTATACAGACAGCCTCAGTATACAGACAGCCTCAGTATACAGACAGCCTGTGATACAGACAGCCTCAGTATACGGACAGCCTCGTATACGGACAGCCTCAGTATACAGACAGCCTCAGTATACAGACAGCCTTCACACAGCCTCAGTATACAGACAGCCTCAGTATACAGACAGCCTCAGTATACAGACAGCCTCAGTATACAGACAGCCTCAGTATACAGACAGCCTCAGTATACAGACAGCCTCAGTATACAGACAGCCTCAGTATACACACAAGCCTCAGTATACAGACAGCCTCAGTATACAGCCTCAGTATACAGACAGCCTCAGTATACAGACAACCTCAGTATACACACAGCCTCAGTATACAGACAGCCTCAGTATACAGACAGCCTCAGTATACAGACAGCCCCAGTATACAGACAGCCTCAGTATACAGACAGCCTCAGTATACAGACAGCCTCAGTATACAGACAGCCTAGTATACAGACAGCCTCAGTATACAGACAGCCTCAGTATACAGACAGCCTCAGTATACACACAGCCTCAGTATACAGACAGCCTAATATACAGACAGCCTCAGTAGCGACAGCCTCAGTATACGGACAGCCTCAGTATACAGACAGCCTCAGTATACAGACAGCCTCAGTATACACACAGCCTCAGTATACAGACAGCCTCAGTATACACACAGCCTCAGTATACACACACAGCCTCAGTATACAGACAGCCTCAGTATACACACAGCCTCAGTATACACACAGCCTCAGTATACAGACAGCCTCAGTATACACACAGCCCAGTATACAGACAGCCTCAGTATACAGACAGCCTCAGTATACAGACAGCCTCAGTATAGACAGCCTCAGTATACAGACAGCCTCAGTATACACACAGCCTCAGTATACAGACAGCCTCAGTATACAGACAGCCTCAGTATACAGACAGCCTCAGTATACAGACAGCCTCAGTATACAGACAGCCTCAGTATACAGACAACCTCAGTATACACACAGCCCTGCATACAGACAGCCTCAGTATACAGACAGCCTCAGTATACAGACAGCCTCAGTATACAGACAGCTCAGTATACAGACCAGTATACAGACAGCCTCAGTATACAGACAGCCTCAGTATACAGACAGCCTCAGTATACAGACAGCTCAGTATACAGCCACCCTCAGTATACTAGAGACAGCCTCAGTATACAGACAGCCTCAGTATACACACAGCCTCAGTATACAGAGAGCCTCAGTATACAGACAGCTCAGTATACGGACAGCCTCGTATGGGACAGCCTCAGTATACAGACAGCCTCAGTATACAGACAGCCTCAGTATACACACAGCCTCAGTATACAGACAGCCTCAGTATAGACAGCCTCAGTATACACACAGCCTCAGTATACAGACAGCCTCAGTATACACACAGCCTCAGTATACACACAGCCTCAGTATACAGACAGCCTCAGTATACACACAGCCTCAGTATACACACAGCCTCAGTATACAGACAGCCTCAGTATACAGACAGCCTCAGTATACAGACAGCCTCAGTATACAGACAGCCTCAGTATACAGACAGCCTCAGTATACAGACAGCCCCAGTATACACACAGCCTCAGTATACACACAGCCTCAGTATACACACACAGCCTCAGTATACAGACAGCCTCAGTATACAGACAGCCTCAGTATACAGACAGCCTCAGTATACAGACAGCCTCAGTATACAGAACAGCCTCAGTATACAGACAGCCTCAGTATACAGACAGCTCAGTATACGTGACAGCCTCAGTATACAGACAGCCTCAGTATACACACAGCCTCAGTATACAGACAGCCTCAGTATACAGACAGCCTTGGATGGACAGCCTCAGTATACGGACAGCCCTCAGTATACAGACAGCCTCAGTATACAGACAGCCTCAGTATACACACAGCCTCAGTATACAGACAGCCTCAGTATACAGACAGCCTCAGTATACAGACAGCCTCAGTATACAGAAGCCTCAGTATACAGACAGCCTCAGTATACAGACAGCCTCAGTATACAGACAGCCTCAGTATACAGAGCCCCGCATACAGACAGCCTCAGTATACAGACAGCCTCAGTATACAGACAGCCTCAGTATACAGACAGCCTCAGTATACACACAGCCTCAGTATACAGACAGCCTCAGTATACACACAGCCTCAGTATACAGACAGCCTCAGTATACACACAGCCTCAGTATACACACAGCCTCATATACACACAGCCTCAGTATACAACAGCCTCAGTATACACACAGCCCAGTATACAGACAGCCTCAGTATACACACAGCCTCAGTATACAGACAGCTCAGTATACACACAGCCCGTATACAGACAGCCTCAGTATACACACAGCCTCAGTATACAGACAGCCTCAGTATACACACAGCTCAGTATACAGACAGCCTCAGTATACAGACAGCCTCAGTATACACACAGCCTCAGTATACACACAGCCTCAGTATACACACAGCCTCAGTATACACACAGCTCAGATACAGACAGCCCAGTTCACGCCAGTATACAGCGCCTCAGTATACAGGTGACAGCCTCGTATACAGACAGCCCAGTGTACAGACAGCCTCAGTAAACAGACATCAGTATCACACACCTACACATACAGGTAAGGGGGAACTATTATTAATACCTGTCACCTGGATTATCACCTGGCTGTAAACACGTGTAATGGTTCATCACCTGAAGATTAGCACACCCAGCTTATTTAACCTGATGATTAGCAATACCTTAATCTAACCTAACCTAATGTAACCCAACGTAAATACAGGAGCTAACCCTCCATTAGGAGAGAGAGAGAGAGAGAGGAGAGAGAGGAGGGAGGAGAGAGAGAGAGAGAGAGAGAGAGAGAGAAGAGAAGAAACAACCATTTGTCTCCCGCGTTCATTCATGTTTATTAATGCTGATCATTAACCATGTAAATGTTGTGTCTAACTAGTGCTGCTGGATGGTGCTGACCTGCCCTGACCTGCCCTGACGGTGCTGACCTGCCCTGACCTGCCCTGACGGTGCTGACCTGCCCTGACCTGCTCCTGACGGTGCTGACCTGCCCTGACGGTGCTGACCTGCCCCGACGGTGCTGACCTGTTCCTGACCTGCCCTGACGGTGCTGACCTGCCCTGACGGTGCTGACCTGCCCTGACGGTGCTGACCTGCCCTGACCTGCCCTGACGGTGCTGACCTGCCCTGACGCTGACCTGCCCTGACGGTGCTGACCTGCCCCTACCACACTGTCCTGATGATGCTGTTGTAATTGTTGTTGTTGTTACCGTCAACACTGTCAGGTAATTAGAGCTTGTTTCCACCCAGTAATACACGACTCTGTATAAACACACTGCCAGGAGCTCCACACCTCGCTATAGTGTAAAGACATCACAATATATGTTATGGTGTTCACGTGTTGTTCAGGGTCACAAATAACAGAGGGAAGGGAGGGATGGATGGGATGGGATGGATGGGATGGGATGGGATGGGATGGGATGGATGGGATGGGATGGGATGGATGGATGGGATGGGATGGATGGATGGATGGATGGATGATGGATGGATGGATGGGATGGATGGGATGGGATGGGATGGGATGGGATGGATGGATGGATGGATGGATGGATGGATGGATGGGATGGGATGGGATGGATGGGATGGGATGGATGGGAGGGATGGGATGGGATGGCTTCAAGTACAATACAAAACAGTTTAGGTTAGGTTAGATTAGGTTTAGTGTTACCTGGATAATTCAATAGTTTTTATAGTGATTGGATAATTTTAAGGATGGATAGATGGATAAAAAGGACAACTCCAAGGACGATGGATTGATAAAAGGATAGGTAGATAGATAGATAGATAGATAGATAGCGGAGAAGATACACTGACAAAAAGACAGACAGACAGACAGACAGACAGACAGACAGACACAGTAATGTTTCAAAGCATAAGATGTTACTTCTGGGAGGGGAAGGACATGCAGAGCCTAGTACTAGAAGTTTATAAGGTGAAGGAAGTGAAGGAAGTGATGAAGGAAGGGTGGATGGGGTGGAGGGGTGAAGGAAGGGGTGAAGGAAGGGTGGAGGGGGTGAAGGAAGCGTGGAGGGGGTGGAGGAAGAAGTGAAAGAAGGGGTGAAGGAAGCGTGGAGGAAGGAGGTAAAGGGGTGAAGGAAGGGAACGAAGGCAGGAGATTGAAACGAAAATATTGTTCAAGAATTAATTATGGATGATTATTATGTGTGTTTTCAGATTAATTGGATAATATTAACTAAATCTGAGGGAAGAGAAAAACATGTTTAGATTAATTAAGATCGGATTAATTATCTACTCTTAATCCGGGAATAGATTATATACATTTACAGATTAATTATAATTTCAGTGATAATATTTTCCTACTTTTAAGGAATAAATTAAATATGAGATTAAATATATCATATTTTCCGTATCTAAATACTGAAGAGGTCTAATGGTGTGTTGTTAAATACAGGTGTGTTGTTAAATACAGGTGTGTTTCTAATGCACTTAAGGTCGTAATGTTTTTGTACACCTGAGTAATTAAGCCAATACAGGTGTGTTAAGAGTAAGGTGTGGTAATTGATTATCTGTTTTGGTTTTAGGAATTAAGAATAATGAAGAGACGTATTGTAGGTGAACCTTGAGCCATTAATAGTGAACCTTGAGCCATTAATAGTGGACCTTGAGCCATTAATAGTGGACCTTGAGCCATTAATAGTGAACCTCGAGCCATTAATAGTGGATCTTGAGCCATTAATAGTTAACATTAAGCTATTAATAGTGAACCCCGAGCCATTAATAGTGAACCTCGAGCCATTAATAGTGAACCTCGAGCCATTAATAGTGAACCTCGAGCCATCAATAGTGAACCTTGAGCCATCAATAGTGAACCTTGAGCCATTAACAGTCAACCTTGAAACCATTAAGTGAACCTCTATATACCGGAATTATCTCTTCATATAATCCGTTAAATGGAGATTTCACTGTAAACAAACCCTGGCCATGGGACAGAGGAAGCCACTGTATTCAACCGCCTTCCCTTCCTCAACTGTCAAGGTAGGAGGAACCCATTCACAGCTGGATCGACTGGGGGATGCCCTGGGTACGAACAGGTGACTTTTACGACAGGAGGCGAATGTTTTATCCACTTGGCCGCCAAACTCCCTGGGCATGTCTAAGGGTATGTAGTAGCCCTGGGCATATCAAAGGGTATGTAGTAGCCCTGGGCACGTCTAAGGGTATGTAGTAGCCCTGGGCACGTCTAAGGGTATGTAGTAGCCCTGGGCATGTCTAAGGGTATGTAGTAGCCCTGGGCATATCAAAGGTATGTAGTAGCCTAGGCATATCTAAGGTATGTAGTAGCCTGGGCATGTCTAAAGGTATGTAGTAACCTGGGCGTCTGAAAGGTATATAGTAGCCTGGGCATATCCCAAAGGGAATGTAGTAGCCTGGGCATGTCTGGGGTATGTGGTAACCTGGGCACGTCTAAGGGTATGTAGTAGCCCTGGGCACGTCTAAGGGTATGTAGTAGCCCTGGGCATGTCTAAGGGTATGTAGTAGCCCTGGGCATATCAAAGGGTATGTAGTAGCCCTGGGCACGTCTAAGGGTATGTAGTAGCCCTGGGCACGTCTAAGGGTATGTAGTAACCCTGGGCACGTCTAAGGGTATGTAGTAACCCTGGGCACGTCTAAGGGTATATAGTAGCCCTGGGCATATCAAAGGGTATGTAGTAGCCCTGGGCATATCTAAGGGTATGTAGTAGCCCTGGGCATGTCTAAGGGCACATAGTAACCCCGGACATGTCTAAGGGTACAATCTTAAGAGACTGGAATGATCTCGGTACAGTAAGACATCTATTCAGACTTAAACCAGATAGGACACGGACATGTCTAGTAACTGGGACATGTTTCAGACTTTAAGACATTTTAGGGTAGGATTTTTAGGGATACTGGGGACATATAAGGTATTTTAAGGGGAAATTTTAAGGGGACGAGACATTTAAGGTGTTATGGTATTCTAAGGATTTTTTTAGGGACGTTGGGATATTTTAGGGAAACTTTAAAGAAGATTGGAAAATAGTTAAGGTTTGAGACATTTTAGGGAAATTTTTAGTAACGTTGGGAAATTTTAGGGAAAGTTTAAAGGAGATTGGAAAATAGTTAAGGCTTTAAGACAGTTTGGGAAGAATTTTAAGGATGATTTCTGAGACACAGGTCAATTAAGGGAGATGAGGATGTTAGGGATTTTAGGAGCCAGGAATATATTTAAGGTATAATTTATTTTTAGGGACAAGTGCATGTGTAAGTAGACTAAGGTAGATTGAGGTAGGATGAGGGATCTTTTAGGTAGACTGGGATAGATTTAGGTAAGGTGAAGGATGTTTAGGTAGAAGACTGGGATACGTTCAGGTAGATTGGGTGAAAGTTCAGGTAGAGGTAGGGAGGGAGAGAGAGAGAGGTAGGGAGAGAGAGGTAGAGGTAGGGAGAGAGAGGTAGAGGTAGGGAGGGAGAGGTAGAGGTAGGGAGAGAGGGGTGGGAGTGGGGAGAGGGGGTGGGGGTGGGGAGAGGGGGGTGGGGTGGGGAGAGAGGGGGTGAGGGAGGTAGGGAGAGAGAGGTAGAGGTAGGGAGAGAGAGGTAGAGGTAGGGAGAGAGAGGTAGAGGTAGGTAGAGGTAGGGAGAGAGAGGTAGAGGTAGGGAGTGAGTAGTAGGAAGAGTTAAATGAGGTAGAGGGAGTTAAGGGAGGGGGCAGGGAGAGGTAGGGAGTGTTAAGGGCGTGTGAGACAACTCTAGCAGGGAGTGAGTGGTGACATGCTACTGATGGTAGTCGCACTAACCTCTCTAGTCTCCGGCTGTTATGAAGAGCAAAGTATCACACATTTAGTCCACGTCATCATCAATAAACATATATACATATATATATACCGTATATATACCCTACATATACGGTTCATATACTGTACATATACGGGTTAATACATGGCATATACAGTAAAAAAATCCATTAAAATTAAAAAAAAAAAATATCTTTATTTTATCCAAAAGTATAAATACATAAATATAAACAATATATATTACTGTAACTTTTTTATGTAGTGAATAATAATACATAAACAAGAAGATTGGTGAAATACAGCAATACTACAGTACAGTTCGTAACACACTACAACACCTTACTAAACTCTATCTTATATATAACGCTGACGAATACAGCCACTTGTTACAATATACTACAGTAGTGTCATACAGAATACAGTGTGAAGAGAGGCATAAATACAGGAGGTGGTATAGTTAAACGCATTTAGGGCATCGAGGGTATGTTTAGGCATATGGAATACCTGTTGACCCGTCATGGTATTTATGCTAATTAATTAAAGGTATATTCGACGTGTTTATGTTAGTAAGTTTTAACCTGTATTGGAGAAGTGGTGGTGATGGTGGTGATGGTGGTGATGGTGGTGAGGATGGTGGGGATGGTGATGGTGGTGATGATAGTGAGTGTTGGTGATGGTGAGTGTTGGTGATGGTGAGTGTTGGTGATGGTGAGTGTTGGTGATGGTGAGTGTTGGTGATGGTGTTGGTGATAGTGATGGAGACGTTGGAATAATCACCATCATCTTAATACTACTTCAGGCGCTAATTCCCAACACACACACGGACACAATACGACTTCCCACCGACCAAGGACTCTATCACCCGACCAACTGTCTCTCACGCCCGACCAACTGTCTCTCACGCCCGACCAACTGTCTCTCACGCCCGACCAACTGTCTCTCACACCCGACCAACTGTCTCTCACGCCCGATCAATTTCTCTCCCGACCGACAACAATCTCTATTTACTGTTGCTAATAATAATAATAATAACACACACACACACACACACACACACACACACACACACACATTAATACATGTTTATTTCCACTACCGACCTCTAGTTCCGCCTCAGCTAACTAACCTTTTGATATAAACAATTTAACATGAGTGAATTAACTTGAGCGGATTAACATGAGTGAGTTAACATGAGCGAATTAACACGAATGGCTGAAAAAAGCAAACATGTTGAATATGCAAAACAGCAGGAGTCAAATTTAACCTTCTAATACAAGTTTGTTTACATTGGTTAATTCTTTGTTTGTATTATTAGCCCTTGTTTACATTATTAGCCCTTGTTTACATTATTAGCCCTTGTTTACAATATTAGCCCTTGTTTACATTATTAGCCCTTGTTTACATTATTAGCCCTTGTTTACATTATTAGCCCTTGTTTACATTATTAGCCCTTGTTTACATTATTAGCCCTTGTTTACATTATTAGCCCTTGTTTACATTATTAGCCCTTGTTTACATTATTAGCCCTTGTTTACATTATTAGCCCTTGTTTACATTATTAGCCCTTGTTTACATTATTAGCCCTTGTTTACATTATTAGCCCTTGTTAGCCCTTGTTTATTATTACATTATTATATTATTAGCCCTTGTTTACATTATTAGCCCTTGTTTACATTATTAGCCCTTGTTTACACTATTAGCCCTTGTTTACATTATTAGCCCTTGTTTACATTATTAGCCCTTGTTTACATTATTAGCCCTTGTTTACACTATTAGCCCTTGTTTACATTGGTTACGTCTATAAATAGTGATAAACCTTCCGTACCCATGATCATTGCTCCTCTCCCACGCCCTCCCACGCCCTCCCACGCCTCTTTTATCTTCTCCCACATCTCTCCCACCCCACGCCCTCCCACGCCTTCCCACGCCCTCCCCGCCTCTTTATGTTCTCCTACATCTCTCCTCCCACGCCCTCCCACGCCCTCCCACGCCCTCCCCACGCCTCTTTTATCTTCTCCCACATCTCTCCCACGCCCTCCCACGCCTCCCACGCCCTCCCACGCCTCTTTATCTTCTCCCACATCTCCCACCCACGCCCTCCCACGCCCTCTCCACACCTTCCCGATGACGTGTTTCAAAGCAGTGTGTGTTGAGTAGTCTGGGTAGATAACAGGACAGACACACACAGACAGGCAGACAGACAGACACACAGACAGACACATGGACAGACACACACAGACAGGCAGACAGACAGACACACAGACAGACACATGGACAGACACACACAGACAGACACACAGACAGACACATGGACAGACATAAAGACACACAGGCAGACTAACAGAAACAACAGACAGTGAAACAGAGAGGCAGACAGACATAAATAGACGGGTAGATATAGATGATGGTAGACAAAACAATAAAATATAAGGAAGACAGAAACACACACACACACACACACACATACACACACACACACACACATACATACACACACACACACACACACACACACACACACACACACACACGCACGCACACACACACACACTCACTCTTCCACACACACACACTCCACACACACACACACACACTCTCTTCACTCTCTTCCCTCTCCCCCTCTCTTCCCTCTCCCCTCCCGTCCTAGTTCATACCTCGAGACAGAATTTATGTCATCCAGCCAATCAGGGACTTAAGGAGGATTAGGCTAATCCCCGAACCCAAGCTACCGACGAGAGATTGGTAGGGGGGGAGCAAGTGTGTGTGTGTGTGTGTGTGTGGCAGGTGTGTGTGTGTGGCAGGTGTGTGTGTGTGGCAGGTGTGTGTGTGTGTGAGAGAGAGAAAGAGAGATAGAATACGTATATGTTTTTTTTTTTTATTGGGCACTCCCCTACATCCTTGTGTAAGGTGAAGCGCAGAAGCGTTTACAGCGCCCAACAGGGAAGCATGCTAAGTTCATGCTTGCCTTTATGTCTCATGAGTCAAGGGCGTAGAAGCCTGAGGAGTCAATGGTTTATGTCATCAAGTTATTGGAAGCTCCAACAACTTGTCCCTGAATACGAATTCGCAACTTTCGATTTACACCAGGTACCTACTGTACTGCTAGGTGAACAGGGACTAATGGGGGCTAGGAAGTGTGTCCAGACAACTTCCACCGGCCCGGGAATCGAACCCGTGGCATCTCGCTTGTGAAGGCAAGAGCGGTACCACTCTACCACCAGCACCCCCTACGTTAATGGTAAGAATGTTTTGTCAGATGCCGAGAGGGAGGGAGGGAGGGAGGGAGGGACAGAAGATTAAACGAAGGAGGAAGACGAAGATAATTAGAAGAATACAGAGAAGGATAGAAAATAATAAAGCATGAAGAAGATAATGTAAAGACGGAAGGAGGAGGAGGAGGAGGGGAAAAATCTCCAGCCATTACCACTCATCCACACCATGTTAACCTGTCTGACTTTACCTGCTATCTTAAAACACCTGGACCCCTC